TAATATATATATATATATATATATATATATATATATATATATATATATATATATATGTATATATATATGTATGTATAAATACCTTGCTACGTGTAGTGCGTTAACCGATACTTGTCATTTGCACTTACATATTGTTGCTCTTTTGTTAGTTTTGACTGCTTTTATTGTCCTCATTTGTAAGTCGCTTTGGATAAAAGCGTCTGCTAAATGACTAAATGTAGTGTGATGTACTATATATATATTTCAACAAATTTATCATCAATACAGACTGTTATATGTTGCGTCTGCCATGTGGGAAACTCAGGGCTTCAAAAAATCCTGCTTCAAAAAATTAGCGTTAACAAAAACTTAGACTAAACTTGAGTGTGTTTATCTCATACAATCTTTCTGGCTTGAACGCACCATTATTCACTGAAGATTTTCTTCCTGCTCAAGAAAATCTTGAACTCATTGAAGCATAGTCTGAAAAATCTTTGGCTTTCAAAGATTTGATCAACGCTTGCTCTCTCACACCTTGACAGACACCAGTTGGGCAGAATACACCAGATCTGCCAGGTAGATCAGGAAGTTGAGAGCGGTGAGAACGGCCACGGCGACAGCGACCAATTTATCGTCCGGTTGGCTTGAGCTCCTCGAATAATGGCTGTCGAACTTTAAGACCGGCCAAATGATAGCAGCGGTGAGGTACATGACGACCGCCAACAGGGCGTAGGTGGAAAGGAAGCACGTAAATGGGAATGGCAGGCACCCGGTGCATTCAGTAATACACATCGCCACGATGGCCGCCGAAATCACGAAACAGATGCAGTAGATGGCCATGCACCACTTCAGAGCCGAGTGACTGTCGTAAGAGGCGGGGTCACTGACAAACAGGAATACGACACTGGCCACGAACGTCTCGCAAACCTTCAACAGGCACGGAACCGTCGCCATGTACCCAGCGACTTCGCCCGTTTGCGCTCGTGTCAGACACACTTCGATGAAATAAATCCCGGTGGCCATGCAGGAGAAGACAGAGGAGGCGATCCGGTGGTCTTGCACCTCGTCACGCCTCATTTTGCCATTCAGGAAGTAGAGCGAGAAAATGATAGATGCTGACAGGCAAAGAAGCGAGGCGTAGCAGGCAAAAGTAATAGGGAAGTTGTTCCAGCACACAGGGGCACGAGACTGGAGACCCATGAGCTTCACCACCAAAACCAGCAGGGTCCCGGCGAAGCTGAAAGCCCAGCAGAAGATGCTCCAGCCGGCCATGCCGCCGTTGACCAACCCTCCATGAGACGCCACGCTAAATGCCGCACAAGTGAACAACAAAGCAGCCAAACGCACCAACGTGATACGGCAAGTCTTCAAGACCAGCAGAGGCATGATTGGTTACGTTTTTGGATGTCAAATGAAGGCGAACGATGTGTGTCCTTCTGGTGACTCGGCAAATGACAAAAAGAAAAGAAGATGGACCATCTCAGTCAACAAAGCATGCTATTGGCTGAGAGATTTGACATGGTCCAGTCACTGATCGTGTTACTAAGACCACATGCTCAAGAGAAGCACTTCAGCCCTGTTTGTGTGAACATGTGGCCCGTTTAGGAGGTTCAACACTTTTACAAGGAACTATGTGGCCTGTTTGCTGCACTGCACTGTTTTTTACTTAAGTGTGTATTGTATTGCATTTATGCCTTGGTTGCAGAACCATTAAATACTAATCTAAAAAAAACATGATAGATATGCACTCACTGCCCAGAGTGGTTTTAAAAAGATAGTTCACCCAAAAATGTAATGTTGGCATCATGTACTAACCCCAATGTTGTTCTAAACCTGTAGGAATGTCTTTCTTCTGCTGAACTCAAAAGAAAATATTTAGAATGTTGGTAACCAAACAGTTGCTGGTAGCCATTTACTTCCATTGGATTTTCCATACTAAAGAAGCCAATGGCTACCAGCAACTGTTTGGCAAATATCTTACTTAAGGCTGAGTAAATGATGACAGCATTTTCATTTTTGGGTGAACTATCCCCTTAATGTAGCTCAGGGAAACAACACAAGCAACGTGTGTCTGAAAATACTTACTGTAACATACTTTTTCTCTGATTTAATGTACACGATGACTTTTAAAGCAATAGCTCACAAAACAAATCGTTATTTACTTAACTCGTCCAACTTTCTTCTGTGTAACCCAAAGGAGTTCACAGAGAAGATGACAACTAAATATAAGTTTTAATAATCGATTTGATTCTTTAAGAATCACACAGTCCACACCTCGGCAAAAACATCCAACTCTTTAATAGAATGCCAATAAATGGAACTTGGCTGTAAAGCACCAAAATTTCATTGTACAAGTTCATCGTGTGCTCTTCCCCTCTACCATAACTCTCAAATCTGATTCACAATAGCTTGCATAAGCGATCAGTTCAGCAAACAGCAATTTAAATGTAGGTCTACAAAGGTCAGCCAGGACATTGTGCCTAAGATCTCCTTTTTAACTTAGGAAAGATGAGTTTGGATTTAGAATGACATCACATGATAACAGATTTTTCATTTTTGGGTGAAAAAAATAGGTTCCCGATTACTTTTTGCTGTTCCTTTAAGATTTTGTGGATAGAGCTAGTATTTTACCCAACTTCACACATTATTTCCCAATTTAAGCTAGCATATAAACCTCTGAGACAACACCACGTATCTAACAAAGCAATATCAGCGGACGTGACTACGGGTCGCTTTCTCCACATTAGGCTACCTCCGTGAAGTTGGCACCCCATAAAAAGAAATAATCATCAAAACTATGCCATTGGTTTGTGCTACACTTGTGCTGGTTTGGTGTTTGAGATATTAAACATTATTTTTTTGACCGTATGACGTCACTCTCCACCCCATGTTGCCAAAATCGCTCCAAATCAGCACAGTTCGTTTGTGCTCGATTTGTGCCGTTAAAACAAACACTGCATCTATTTTCCTTCCTTAGATATAACCAAAATATTTTCGGGAGCTGTGACGCCACTCTCCACCCCAGTTCGTCTAAATCGCACAAAACTGGTGTCATTCGTTTGTGCTCGATTTGTGCCGTTAAAAGAAACCCTGTAACTATGACCGCTTCTTTTAAATAATAAAAATAAACTTTTTTCGAACAGTGACGTCACTCTCCACCCCATGCAATCTAAATCGTTCCAAAACGGTGCCATTCGTTTGTGCTACATTTGTGCCGTTCAAATTTACATTGTATCTATTTCCTGTTCTCAGAAATAACAAATACAAAACGGGCCAGTGACGTCACTCTCCACCCTATGCTGTCCAAATCCCTCCAAACCGGTGCCGTTCATTTGTGCTCGATTTGGGTTTCACATTCTCGTGGGTTTCACAGTAATGGACATGGAAAGTCGACGTATACGTAAAGCGATTGAAAGAACGCAAAGGAGGACTAAGAATCTCCAACGACAACTGGCAGTGCTACATTTGCTACAAGTGCCTTCAATTCAGCTTCCGTCCATCCATCGCTGTTCTCCATACTTGCGAAATAAGTTTAAACAATGTTTACAGTATGTTTACACAGCATTTTAAAATCATGGCGGGTGAGGGCGTTTTCATACGCGTTTGGCCAATCAATATGTCTACTTACATCACGATTAGTACCAGTTGTGCTGGTTAGACCCTGCTCCGGAGTAGGAGCTAATTTGGTTCTCGAAAAAGGGAGTCCGGTACTAAAATTGCTCCCAGTTCCGGCGGTGCGAACACGCCAAAAAGTGTGCAGTTCCACAATTAGTTCTGGTACTATGAAAAGGTTCCCGCGGTGCGAAAGGCCCTCATGACCTCTTCTTAAATATAACGGGAACTTTACTCTCCACCCCGTTTAGCGCGGCCGCAGAGTTTAAAAAATAAAAAAAATAAAAATTAGTGTTCGTGCTGCCTTAAAAATGTTACGTTTAGTCAGGTCTAAGTTTTCACTAACTTCATATTTCAAGTTGACTAAGCTTAAATTTCAAGGCAGCATTAAGTTGAAACGGTGAGACCGTCTTTTTTTGTTTCTTTTTTTACTAAATCGCTCCAATTCATTTGTGCTGGATTTGTGACGTCACTGGCCCGTTTTGTATTTGTTATTTCTGAGGACGGGAAATAGATACAATGTAAATGTGAACGGCACAAATGTAGCACAAATGAATGGCATAGTTTTGATGATTATTTCTTTTTATGGGGTGCCAACTTCACGGAGGTAATTAACCTACTACCCATTTTCGATGCAAGGAGCCTGCAAACAATAAAAATATCACTGCTAGAGTTTCCAAAGCCTTGGAGCCTGACTCCAACTAGTTTAATGCATGCCAAGGAGAACCGAAGATGTTCTCATCCTTAAAGAGACTCGCTTCAGTCCTCCACGCCCTCTCCTTCTGAATCAGGGCCTGCCTTTCTCTCACCATCTGACCTCTCCGTACAGTCTAGAGAAGGGCTTGTATGCGGAAATTAGATGTTGGTTGTTTGCATTGCATTATGTGACATTTTCCCTTTTTTTACAAACGGGAAAAAAGTATTTCTTATCATATCTGTATTTCTTTTGATACAATTCTGTATATGAATCATGGCTTTTTTCGAGTGGAACTCACTAACTGTAGCATTTTCAGTTCTCTCTCTCTGTGATAAACACGAGCAGACTAGGCGTGACCGCTGCATATTAGCTTCAGTAATTATATTGAGGGTATGGAGCAAAACAACTTCAATAATAGTACTGTTCACTGGCATATAATGAGAATGAGGGGATAAAAAGTGCAGTTAGACAATCTAATGATATCAGATAAAGTAAAAATCAACTGTTCCCTGACCGGGAATCGAACCCGGGCCGCGGCGGTGAGAGCGCCGAATCCTAACCACTAGACCACCAGGGAGCGGTGTTGACGGAGAGTTAAATAGCGTTCATAATGCTGTGACTACAACATCCCTGTAACCTAGTTTACCACATGATCAGTCACTCTTGATTCGCAGGCGCTATAAATCAATATGTCTTCATTATTTTGTTATTGTGATAGTTACAAACACAGAGCCAAAGTATAGGCTACATCACTGTTTTAACGGAAAAAAATGCAAAAAGGCAATTTATTATTATTATTTTGAACTATTTCCCAGTACCATTTAAAGGGTTGCATTCGCACTGAGAGTGTGCACTAAGAAGTGACGTCGACAGCGTCGTCATTTGTGCGCGGCGTTCAACAACAGAAACGAAGAAGAACAACATTAACAACAGGAGGATGGAGGACGCTGTGATCGGAGCTGTGTTTTTGTTGTGTCTCGCGGGTTTCACAGTAATGGACATGGAAAGTCGACGTATACGTAAAGCGATTGAAAGAACGCAAAGGAGGACTAAGATTCTCCAACGACAACTGGCAGTGCTACATTTGCTACAAGTGCCTGCACTTCAGCGTCCGTCCATCTATCGCTGTTCTCCATACTTGAGAAATAAGTTGACACAATGTTTCCAGTATGTTTACACGGCGTTTTAAATCATGGCGGGTGATGGCGTTTTCATACGCGTTTGGCCAATCAATATGTCTACTTACATCACGATTAGTACCAGTTGTGCTGGTTAGACCCTGCTCCGGAGTAGGAGCTAATTTGGTTCTCGAAAAAGGGAGTCCGGTACTAAAATTGCTCCCAGTTCCGGCGGTGCGAACACGCCGAAAAGTGTGCAGTTCCACAATTAGTTCTGGTACTATGAAAAGGTTCCCGCGGTGCGAAAGGCCCTCATGACCTCTTCTTAAATATAACGGGAACTTTACTCTCCACCCCGTTTAGCGCGGCCGCAGAGTTTAAAAAATAAAAAAAATAAAAATTAGTGTTCGTGCTGCCTTAAAAATGTTACGTTTAGTCAGGTCCAAGTTTTCACTAACTTCATATTTCAAGTTGACTAAGCTTAAATTTCAAGGCAGCATTAAGTTGAAACGGTGAGACCGTCTTTTTTTGTTTCTTTTTTTACTAAATCGCTCCAATTCATTTGTGCTGGATTTGTGACGTCACTGGCCCGTTTTGTATTTGTTATTTCTGAGGACGGGAAATAGATGCAATGTAAATGTGAACGGCACAAATGTAGCACAAATGAATGGCATAGTTTTGATGATTATTTCTGTTTATGGGGTGCCAACTTCACGGAGGTAATTAACCTACTACCCATTTTCGATGCAAGGAGCCTGCAAACAATAAAAATATCACTGCTAGAGTTTCCAAAGCCTTGGAGCCTGACTCCAACTAGTTTAATGCATGCCAAGGAGAACCGAAGATGTTCTCATCCTTAAAGAGACTCGCTTCAGTCCTCCACGCCCTCTCCTTCTGAATCAGGGCCTGCCTTTCTCTCACCATCTGACCTCTCCGTACAGTCTAGAGAAGGGCTTGTATGCGGAAATTAGATGTTGGTTGTTTGCATTGCATTATGTGACATTTTCCCTTTTTTTACAAACGGGAAAAAGTATTTCTTATCATATCTGTATTTCTTTTGATACAATTCTGTATATGAATCATGGCTTTTTTCGAGTGGAACTCACTAACTGTAGCATTTTCAGTTCTCTCTCTCTGTGATAAACACGAGCAGACTAGGCGTGACCGCTGCATATTAGCTTCAGTAATTATATTGAGGGTATGGAGCAAAACAACTTCAATAATAGTACTGTTCACTGGCATATAATGAGAATGAGGGGATAAAAAGTGCAGTTAGACAATCTAATGATATCAGATAAAGTAAAAATCAACTGTTCCCTGACCGGGAATCGAACCCGGGCCGCGGCGGTGAGAGCGCCGAATCCTAACCACTAGACCACCAGGGAGCGGTGTTGACGGAGAGTTAAATAGCGTTCATAATGCTGTGACTACAACATCCCTGTAACCTAGTTTACCACATGATCAGTCACTCTTGATTCGCAGGCGCTATAAATCAATATGTCTTCATTATTTTGTTATTGTGATAGTTACAAACACAGAGCCAAAGTATAGGCTACATCACTGTTTTAACGGAAAAAAATGCAAAAAGGCAATTTATTATTATTATTTTGTTATTAAGCCATGTACAAAATTAGTACAAATATATATCTCGCAAGACGTGCTACCAAAAAGCAACATGAAAAAAATACAATACAATACAGTGAAATAAAATAGGTCAAATTGAATTTACGAGTTGTGTTCTTTCACTATCTATTGTTTTTTTTTGTCCATATTTTTTAATTAGATTTGTTTTCTGCTTTCACGTTCATTTTAGTTGGTGATTTTCTCACGTTTTTGTCATTATTTTGTATTGTTTTTAGAACTCAATTAAACTAAGAAGTGTTGCCTTGGAAACTAACTGAAATACAATTATATCTTTTTGTATATTTTATTTTCTATCAGTTGAGATGTATTTGATTTAGTAAGAAACTTTTTTAGAGTTTTGGTTTTAGTTATAATTAACTATAATAACAGAGAATAATAATGACTGAACGCAGATCCACAGTTTAATTTAGTTTGTTTAAAATATGGCTCAGCTTTCATCCATTTTTTTTTACACATGAATATGATACTTTCCAAGTAAAATAAATAATTGCATGATAACACTTTTGAAATAAGCACATTTTGATTACTTTTGACCTAACTTGCTTATGACATTGATTTAAATATATAATCCTGCGCCATACTGATCTAAAAACGCAAAGGAAAAGATATTCTTTATTAACACCGTGAAGTGCATTAAACATTACGTCAATGTTTCCCAAACTGCAGGGGGTTCGTCAATTTAATGAAAAACGAATAATTAATTAAATCGTAAAAATGTTAATTAGAATGAAATGTGATGTACGTGTGCTATCAGGGCAGCCCGATTCCGACTGTTTTAAATCGGAACCGGACGTAATCCAGACTGCGTGTAAACCTGGCCTCGTTTCTCCGGTTTGACCTGCAGCCCCACAATCCAGCCGCTAGAGGCCGAGCGCGAGGCCAACACTGACCCAGGCATGATGCTGTTATTCCGGAATGGCGAACGCTCGCGCACTGGGATTACACCAGCAATGAAGACAAACAGAGCGCGCATCTTCGGGAAGCACTGAGAGCAACTCGACGCTAAACGTGCATACAGCGAGAGACGGACGCGAGAGACAGACGCGAGCGGCGCGGATCCAAGTGAATGTCGCCGAAACCCGGCCAATAACTGCGCCGCGAAACGAGAGCGCTCCGAGGCGGGCGTGTCGCGCCACGCGTGCAGAAGATCGCGTGCGGATCGCGCTGCTCGCCGGCGGTCTACCGCGCGCGCGTGAAGGTGAACGGCCGCGGCCGTCGGAGTCGCGTTGTGCGTCAGTACGCGGCGGCGGGGATGCACGCCGTGCGGGCCTCGCGTGCACTGGAAGCAGCGGAGCTCGACCGGCGGATTTTATTTCGCTAAAAGCACGGGGTTCTGTGGGTTTGCGGGGGGTGTTTAGCGGAGCGCGCGTGCGAGCTGCTGCAGGAATCTGACTGTCACACCGCTGGGAACCTTGCTGCTTATTCATCAGTGCATGCACTTTACTTGCGTCCCACCAGTGTGTGTGTGTAAAGCGGCTGCTCGCGTCATGTTCCCCAGCCTTTGCGTTTGGAAAGCTCCACTTGCATTGCATTGAAGTCAGTAGCTCCAAAGTCCAGAATAACCTTGCTAAAACACTAGCACCGAATCACCTCCGCCGCTAATACGCTGCAGTGAAGCCACAGGGCACGGCAGCAAAGCTGATTCTTCTCATTCGGACCGCTTGTGTTGCCATCCCCGCGGTCTGTTCGTGTTTTTAAAGCGATCCTGAAGTGGGAAGATGATTCAGTCCGCGGGAATCTTTGTTCCGGAGCTCCAGAGAGCAAACAGAAGTGTGGCGTATTGATCCTGCATGTTCCCCTGAGAGAGAGTCTGGCTGTTCTGAAGCTGCCAAACACTAAGTAGTGAGTTTCACTGGGTTTATGTGGACTTTTGGAGTTTGCTTATTCAATGGGACGATGCTGGTGAGGAGGATCACTGTGTTTCCCCCAAAGGAACTTTGACCCCTGAAGCGGCGAAAGGACAAAACTCACCCCAAGGAGTGGAGAGAGGAAATAGGACTAACCCTACACTAATGACATGATCTCAGACTGACAGAAAAACCACTACGCTAGTAATCGGACAAACCTCACAGCCATGAGTGTTCGACACCCGACCTCCACGCTGGATAGGTGAAGTTGCTTTCTTAAAACGACCTTTAGACCGATACCGATTCCCTGAGAGCACACGCACATCATGGAGACGTCTATTTGACGTCTGCATTACATCTGCAAGACTTAGTTTTTAGAGTGTTTAGTCATCTGCAATACGTCCATACCATACGTTTCCTATCAGATGTCAAATAGATGTTTAGAAGATGTCTTTAAGATGTTTATGTAAAACTGACATCTTAAACCCAGATAGCACACATATGTCTGCAAGACGTCTGTTAAAGATCACTTCGTCTGGAAAGCATCTGTTGTGTACAAACATCTGACAGATGTCTCTACAAGATGTCAGTTCTTACAAACATTCTAAATCACAAACATCTGACAGACGTCTCTACAAGATGTCAGTTTTTACAAACATTCTAAATCAAACATCTGACAGACATCTATCAGCTGTTTCTACACAGCAGATGCTTTCCAGACGAAGCGATATTTAACAGATGTCTTGCAGACGTACATACTGTTTGTATCTTAACGTGCTCAGTGATGTTTTTAGTGACTTATGGGTCAATGCATTATATTCCATTCATAAACTGAGCTAGTATGTACTATTTTAAACAACTAGGTCCTCGAATCTGATTGGTCGAGTGGCGTTAGCAAGTGTGTCAGTTCTTGAAATCTTGTGAATGGATAGTAAATAGCTTATAATCTTGAGTAAATATTCTGTTATATAAGTGTTAATCAATTATGTGCACATTTTCATTTGGTGTCATTCAGTATTACGTATGAATCTGCATTATATCGGCCGTCCTCAATGCAGCAAAATTTTAAAAACTGGTATCGGTTGACCATTATCCTCATCTCTCTTAAAGGAGTGTTACAATTTAAATTTGTATTCCTTTTTAAGAGCACGAGAGATCCTTCTAAATTATTGTCTGTGATACCGTGCAATAGCCTATGCCACAATGCAGTAATAAAGCCTATGCTACCATGCTTTATTTGCCGTCAGCCACACGATTAATTTGTTCGGCGAGTGAAAGTGGGGCTGTGGTGAGTGTGGGGCTGAACCTTAGTTTAAGTATGACTGGCTAAGTAAAAACTTACCAGATTTATCGATAGACCTGATTTTTGAGTAGAAATGTGATTATCACAGTTATTGAGCCTCTAGACTCTATTTCCCAGATTTTACTGTATATTTTAGCTGATAGAAGAGGGCACACAGGCAAAATCATTGTTTACAGTGAATACACCGGCTTTTGCGCGCTTGTAAGGATAACATTAAGTTTAGACGGTTACTGCTTCCTCAGATCAGCGTCTCGTATCCTCTTGTCTAACAATACAGGTTTTTCCATTCGTCCGGTGTGCCTTAGTTTCCTTGTTGCTATTTTTACCCTCGGTGCATCAGTTTCTGTTACAGCTGTGTGTTTGTGTTTAACTGATGAGTCACTCTGGAGAGGAGCATCCATCAGAAGTTTCACTTCATATATCTGTGACTCTGTCCACGTTGTCTGTGTATCTCTGTCTTTATGTGTCTTGTTCTGTCTCAAGATCTTTGTTTCTCTTTCCCATTGACTTGTTTTTCCTGTGCATCCACGTCCTGTTTGTGTCATGTGACTGCAGGGCAGCCGTTAAGAAACAAACACACCTGCGCAGGTATGATGAATCAAAGTCAAACCCAACACATGTCATCTGCCAGTCATTAACCACAGGTTTCCAGTGCTAATTGTCATGCGGTTGAGTGTTTAAAGTGTCGAGTCGTGCGCTCAGACGTGTTTTTGACCCGTCAATCACACAAGCCTCTTCCACTATGTGCTTGTTATTTAGGAGGAGTTCCACGAGCTGTAAACTCACTCGCACGTCTTTCACTTTCTCAGTCAGTTTTACAGTCCGTCTCATGTTGAGTATTGGCTCTTTTTCTTCCATCTGTCTCACTGTAATGCCTTGCTTCTCTCTTTCATGCTCCCTTTTAGTCCTTTTGCTGCTTGGTGAGTTTTCCGGTTTTATTTTTGTGTTGTTATAATTAGTGGCAGGCCAGCCTGAAGTCGGTAGATAGTGCATGTTGTTGTTTTTTTGTTTTTTTTTCCCAGTTATAGTACATGTTGTGTAAAATGCATTATTTGTGTAGCTGTAGATATCAATATTTTTTCTTCCATCTGTCTCACTGTAATGCCTTGCTTCTCTCTTTCATGCTCCCTTTTAGTCCTTTTGCTGCTTGGTGAGTTTTCCGGTTTTATTTTTGTGTTGTTATAATTAGTGGCAGGCCAGCCTGAAGTCGGTAGATAGTGCATGTTGTTGTTTTTTTGTTTTTTTTCCCAGTTATAGTACATGTTGTGTAAAATGCATTATTTGTGTAGCTGTAGATATCAATATTTGAGCTCCGTGTTGAAAACACAATATTGGTCAACCACTATCGGCTAATGCCAGCGCTGATGTGAAACTCAGGAATATGTCTAAAGTCCTTTTACTTTTTGTTCAGTCTGGTTAAATTCAATAACTTTCAGTTTTATTTTGCATCATGCATCAAGTATGTTGCATGCATCCTTCCCTACGTCTTATTCCCTTGCTTTTTTCTGGTTCTCTGTCCTTTTCTCCTGCTCCCTGGTCTCCTAGTTATCCATTTCTTGTGGCATTGATTTTAATATCTCATTGTTTTTGTCCGTCTTAGGTTGAGCAGTTTGACGTTGGGAGACTCGGAGCGCAGGTCTTCTCCTGGCCAGCAGAGGGAGACGCTGTCGGATCTCCCCTCAGACAACGCAGGTCAAGCAGAGCTCTCATATGCAAATGTCCATGATCACATGACTTGATGTTATTGAACGGTCCTCTGTTTGTTTCATAGGGACGGGTTTAGTCCAAAGATGTGTGGTTGTGGAAAGAGACAGTCTGGGGTTTGGCTTCACCGTCTGTGGCGAGAGAATCAAACTAGTGCAGAATGTTCGGCCAGGTAATTAATACCTTTATTCGGCAAGGATGCATTAAATCGATCAAAGGTGGCAGGAAAGACATTTATAATGTCACAAAAGATTGCTGTTTTTACTTTATGCATCAGAAAATTCTTAAAATGTATCATGGTTCCCACAAAAAAATATTGAACTGTTTCCAACTGAGATAATGATCATGTTTCTTGAGCAGCAGCATATTATTATGATTTCTGAAGATCATGTGACTCTGAAGACTGGAGTAATGATGCTGAAAATTCAGCTGCGCATCTCAGGAATAAATTACTTGTTAAAGTGTATTCACGTAGAATGCAGTTATTGTAAAAACATTTCACTGTTTTTACTGTATTTTTGATGAAATAAATGCAGCCTTGGTGAGCTACAAACCTAAGCTTTTGAAGGGCAGTGTACCTGTAAAGGATAAACGGCTATCAGAATCAGACCTGCTTTCTCTGTCCTCACAGGTGGAGCGGCGGTCAAGGCTGGAGTTCAGGAAGGAGACCGAATCATTAAGGTATTCTCAATCACGCATGAAACAAAAGTGATTGTAATTTAAAGGGGTCATATGATGCGATTTCAAGTGTTCCTTTCTCTTTGGAGTGTTACAAGCTGATTGTGCATAGATAAGATCCCTGAAGTTGCAAAGACTAAAGTCTCAAACCCAAAGAGACATTCTTTATAAAAGTTGAGACTCTGCCACGCCCCCCTAAAACGGCTCGTTCTAACACGCCCCCACATATCTACCTCACTATGTGGAAATATTGAAGGCGTGGTTTCAGTAACTGCAGTTAGTGTTGAAGCAGCATGTCAGGGAGACGCTGTGTGTTTCTAGGCGAAAGCAAAAGCACTTTATTTGGCCTTCCAGAAGTAGATGCATTTAGGAATCTTTAAGATTACTTACAACAGAACAGCAATGCATTTTATGGACGACCGTTTCGTGAACCTAGGAGAGGAGGTTTATTTTGAAAGATGAAGCTGCGATTATGGTAAGGGGCGTTACATTTCCGACGCGTGCTTGCGGTGTTCGGCCAATCACAATGCACTGGGTCAGCTGGCCAATCAGAGCAGACTGCGCTTGTTGGAAAGAGGGACTTTGTGGAAAACGACGTGTTTGAGAGAGGCGGGGCATAGAGGACCTACAATAACGTACAGTATTTGAAAAATAATGTGTTTTTTGAACATTAAAGCATGTCAACATATTCTGTTTCACCAAATACACAAAATAATGATCTTGAAAAAAAGCATCATATGACCCCTTTAACTAATAACTAATGTTATGTTTGTCATCTCTGTTTGCCTTTCAGGTCAATGGTTCATTGGTTTCGTCCATGTCTCATCAGGAAGTGGTGAAGATGATCAAATGTGAGTCTGGCAGTTGTACGTCTAGTTTGTGTAGTTGTGAGGAGTGTCTTTACTGACGTTTGTTCTTCTCTGACAGCCGGGACGTATGTGGCGTTGACTCTTCAGGGACCGCCTCCTTCAGTCGTGTCCGTCCCGCTTCAGCCCCTCCCCGCTGACCTCTTGCCCAATCACAGGACAGCACCTGGTGAAGCCCCGCCTCCTCCACCAACTCCACCCACAGGAAGCAGCACCCCGACTCAGAGAATTACAGGACCCAAACCATTACAGGTGCGCCATGTTTTTAAAACTTTTATTGACTATAACATAGTTGTATGGCCCTCAATCGGCTATATGGACTATTGCCAGTGAGTATTAAAGCGCAAAAAGACTGCGTGTCTCTGTGTGAATGAATGGCATGGTTTCATCTACTACTTCATCTACTACTTCATCTCCTGAGCTGCTCTGAGGGTCATTTCATTTGAGAAACTTAAAGATCTCCTGCAACCCGCCAAAATAAAAGTTCGGATTAACTTGAAGAAATTATGACGGAAATATATTACTCATATATACGCAGCAGAACGTGCTCAAAGTAATAATAGTAATACATTATTTTTGAGGAAGTATCACACAATTTTTGTCAGTGTTTTAATTTAAATGTTAAACCTCTGTTTTGTAACAACAAATTAAAGGATTATTACAATTTGATTTGAAGTTTTTATTAACACGCAGAATCCAGACAAAATAAAACTGACAACACAGAATTTCAGAAATGAATAACACCTTTCATTATTAACGCGCTGTTTCACTATTATTGATATAAGTTTAATGTATGGTTAAATTGTTAAAGTTTAAAAAAATAAACTGAAAAATGTAATCCTTAATTATTAAAATTGAATTGAATTAAACCCTAAATATGGAATCCAAAAAATGATAAAACCCCACAATAGTGGAAAAAAAAAAAAGATTCTAGGGTATTCTTATTGATAAAATGTTAATAAATGGTTAGATTGTTAATGTTGTATGAATTTAGTTATTTAAATTAAAATATTTTTATGATAAAGTTTTATGAATTTAATCAATTGGACATTCATTGATTATTAAAAAGTTAATTAATTCAAATGGAATCCAAAATAAATAAATAGAACAAGCAACACAGAATTTTTGAGGGAAAACAAATACAAAAATAACAATAATAACAACACATTTCATAGGGCACTACTATTGATCCAATTTTAATAAGTGATTAAATTGTTAAAGTTTTATGAATTCAATTGATTATTATGAAATTTAAATAAAGGGGACACACACAGTTTCTGCCAATCTCATGTTAATCTTGAGTACCTATAGAGGAGTACTCTTTAACAGTGTAAATGAGTCAGAATTAGGGATGTAACGATTAACCGCGAGCCGGTTGAAAATCGATTCAAATATGTGACGATTCAAATCGCAATTCAATTATGGGTAGGAGTTTATATGCATTAAATGCATGTCTGAGGAGAACTTACTGTGTTTAGAAAAGTTTAGATGGTATTTTTTGTTTTCCTCTTGCCTCTGTATAACGCATATGAAGACAACAAATCCATCAAGACATTTTTAGTTCATTGCTTTTGACCAAATTATGATTCCATAATCCAGAGCAATGGTTCCTCCAGTGAATTTGCACATGTTAATTGGAATGATTCGGGGCTGAAAAAGTAGCGTAATTAAATAAAAGGACCAACAACAGACTACTGTTGTGTTATATGGACTGGTTTTAAAGGCACAGATAGTTGCATTTGTTTCCTTTCTGAGCTTTCTGATGTAAATGTCCAGTGTGAAGCACGTCAGGGTTCATAAACCTGCCAGATCAGGTATTCTTAGTTGAATAGTCGATTAGTTGTTTCCAAGCTCTGCACACGGTCATTTTAAACCGCTTCTCTGTTTCAGGATGGCACTCGATCAGAAGCTGTCGCTAGCTATCTCACAGCTGGAGAAGGTCGCTATGCATTCATTAAATCATGTGTTGAAGAGCTAATACGATCTTTGATTCATCAGCGTTCGTGCTGTAATGTTGGTGTGATTTCCCTCTTTGAGCAGGTCGGTTATCGATGGACTCCAGCGAAGGAGATGCCGAGGTGAGTTACGTTCGCTTTAGGGATGCACCGAAATCATTCAGCCGGAAATAGCATAAAAAGCAAAAAAGAATAGGGATCAAATAGCAACCAGCGTCGAGTGAGAGGCGCGCGCTCTGTGCAGTGTGGAAGCTTTTAAAACCGTCCGAGAAAGACGCACAAATCATTGACTGTTTAGTACTACTTTAAACAATTTGTAAATCAACTGCAGAACGTTGTGTTTTCTAATACTGTATTGCATGTATTCTGACAGCGCTATCTGCTTGTTAACCAGCGTTCAAAGGCCAAAGCGCAAGGAAAATCTGCACTGAAGCACTGTTACTCGTCACATTTTTATACATTTTTACAATGCGATACGTGCGACGTATTCGTAATGAGACTCGTTTATAAATCTGCTGGGTCTTCCTGCGCATTGCACATAAAAGTTAAGAACTCCAGCATTCATAAATGTTAGTATTGTAATTTTACTGTTGTTCTGTAAAAAGTAACGCAGGCGATGAGCCGAGTGAACGTGCAAATTCACTCCCTGACATTAGATGGTGCTTAATGAAAAACAGAAATAGCCCGGTACACATCGAATTCTATTTGATCTGCAATTCCTCTCCGTAACAATTCCCTCTTATCGAGATTTTTGTAGTTGCTCTCATGTTTGTCATAAAGCTCTTTGTGTTCAGACACCAATGAGACCAGCAGCTCTACATTCATCTTGCCTCGATGCATCTTCTTGGTCTACTTACTTCCTCTTCGTCGTTAGGTATCAATGTGTGCTCGGTAAGACCGTTTTGTGCTTGAGCGCCGCCAAGTCGTGTTTTACTGTAACTTCAGCAGCTCCAGGCACGTGAACAAATGTGCCAATCTCGTTGGTCGGCCAGTTTTTAATGCGGCGCGTCAAACCAAAAAAAACGAGACCGAGGCGTTTAAAAAAAAAAAAAAAAAACGCTTTTACGCCTTGGGTTTTGCGCGGCAGTGTGCACGCTCACATTGGCGCCCTTTGTTTAGTCACGAGGCGTTAAACGTCGACGATAATCACGCGTGGTATTCGTCCCGGTGTGAACAAGCCTTAACATCATCTAAGATGGAGAAATGTAGCATTGCATCACTTGATGCTCTGCAGTGAATGGGTGCCGTCAGAATGAGAGTCCAAACAGCTGATAACATCACAATAATCCACAAGTAATCCACAGCACTCCAGTCCATCAGTTAACATCTGGAGAAGACAACAAATCCATCAAGACATTTTTAGTTCATTGCTTTTGACCAAATTATGATTCCATAATCCAGAGCAATGGTTCCTCCAGTGAATTTGCACATGTTAATTGGAATGATTCGGGGCTGAAAAAGTAGCGTAATTAAATAAAAGGACCAACAACAGACTACTGTTGTGTTATATGGACTGGTTTTAAAGGCACAGATAGTTGCATTTGTTTCCTTTCTGAGCTTTCTGATGTAAATGTCCAGTGTGAAGCACGTCAGGGTTCATAAACCTGCCAGATCAGGTATTCTTAGTTGAATAGTCGATTAGTTGTTTCCAAGCTCTGCACACGGTCATTTTAAACCGCTTCTCTGTTTCAGGATGGCACTCGATCAGAAGCTGTCGCTAGCTATCTCACAGCTGGAGAAGGTCGCTATGCATTCATTAAATCATGTGTTGAAGAGCTAATACGATCTTTGATTCATCAGCGTTCGTGCTGTAATGTTGGTGTGATTTCCCTCTTTGAGCAGGTCGGTTATCGATGGACTCCAGCGAAGGAGACGCCGAGGTGAGTTACGTTCGCTTTAGGGATGCACCGAAATCATTCGGCCGGAAATAGCATAAAAAGCAAAAAAGAATAGGGATCAAATAGCAACCAGCGTCGAGTGAGAGGCGCGCGCTCTGTGCAGTGTGGAAGCTTTTAAAACTGTCCGAGAAAGACGCACAAATCATTGACTGTTTAGTACTACTTTAAACAATTTGTAAATCAACTGCAGAACGTTGTGTTTTCTAATACTCGCACGTATTGCATGTATTCTGACAGCGCTATCTGCTTGTTAACCAGCGTTCAAAGGACAAAGCGCAAGGCAAATCTGCACTGAAGCACTGTTACTCGTCACATTTTTACAATGCATGTGACAATGCGATACGTGCGACGTATTCGTAATGAGACTCGTTTATAAATCTGCTGGGTCTTCCTGCGCATTGCACATAAAAGTTAAGAACTCCAGCATTCATAAATGTTGGTATTGTAATTTTACTGTTGTTCTGTAAAAAGTAAGACAATACTAATGATAATAATAATTGCAACAGCTCTGTTAATGCATTTATTATAACGTTCACACATAGTGTTCAAATCGGGATCTGTAATATTTTCTAATGTTTTAAAAACCTGCTCCGCAAGGCTGCTTTTCTTTGTACAGTAAAAGAAGGGGGTCTGACGGCCAAAACACATTATTTTACTAACTTATTCATTTTAAGTTAAATTGTGCTTTGTTGGTATAATGTCTGCTAGAATCTTAAATATTTTTAAGTTGTTGTTTTGTAACTGATTTGTTTTCTTTGAAAAGCACGACAAAGCAGTAAAATGCACATTTTGCTATTTGATTTATTCATATGTGACCCTGGAGCACAAAAGCAGTCTTAAGTCGCTGGGGTATATTTGTAGCAATGGCCAAAAAATACATTGTATGGGCCAAAATTATAGATTTTTCTTTAATGCCAAAAATCATTAGGATGTTAAGTAAAGATCATGTTCCATGAACATTTCCTAGCGTAAATATATCAAAACTTAATGTTTGATTAGTAATATGCATTGCTAAGAACTTCATTTGGACAACTTTAAAGATGGTTTTCTCAATATTTAGATTTTTTTTGCTCCCTCAGATTCCAGATTTTCAAATAGTTGTATATCGGCCAAATATTGTCCGATCCTAACAAACCATACATCAATGGAAAGCTTATTTATTCAGCTTTCATCTGATGTATAAATCTCAATTTTGAAAAATTGACAAAATACTTGGCAAAATACATGGGGGAAAAAACCTTGAAAAACCGTGTTCGGCCTTCGACCCAATGTTTAATTTTGTTCGGCTTCGGGCAAATATTTATTCCGGTGCATCCCTAGTTCTCCTTACCGCTTTAAGAAACGATTCTCATCAGATTCCTAGGAGTGTGAACAGAAGTGACTGTGAGACTCTGTCCAACGGTCTCCTGTGTGTCTGTGTTCAGGCGTGTGAGAGTCCCTTCTCCTCCCCGTCCACCTTCCCCAGGAACCCTCTGCTCCGCCGGCAGGGATCCGACACGCACCCCTCGGACTCGGTAAGACGATCGCTGGAGCTCCGTAGCGCTTGGCAGTGCTCTGTGTTCAGCCTGCAGTCTGAGTGTCTTACATTTACATACTTTTATCCAAAGCGACTTACAAATGAGGATCATAAAAGCAGTCAAAACTAACAAAAGAGCAACAATATATAAGTGCAAATGACAAGTCTCGGTTAGCCTAACACAGTGCACATAGCAAGGTGTGTGTACAGTGGGTACGGAAAGTATTCAGACCCCCTTAAATTTTTCACTCATTGTTATATTGCAGCCATTTGCTAAAATCATTTAAGTTAATTTTTTTTCCTCATTAATGTACACACAGCACCCCATATTGACAGAAAAACACAGAATTGTTGACATTTTTGCAGATTTATTAAAAATGAAAAACTGAAATATCACATGGTCCTAAGTATTCAGACCCTTTGCTGTGACACTCATATATTTAACTCAGGTGCTGTCCATTTCTTCTGATCATCCTTGAGATGGTTCTACACCTTCATTTGAGTCCAGCTGTGTTTGATTATACTGATTGGACTTGATTAGGAAAGCCACACACCTGCAGGTGTGTTGAGGCAAGTTGGAGCTAAACTCTGTAGGACACCGGCCCTCCAGGTTTGGGCACCCCTGAGTTAGAGGGTCAAATAAAGGTGGAACAGATGTGATTTTAGTCGTTTCATGAAGATGGTTAAGGACTCCGCTGCTCAGATTGAGTTGGGCAGGTCATTCCACCAGGAGGGAACAGTTAACGAAAAAGTCTGTGAAAGTGATTTTGTGCCTCTTTGAGATGACACAATAATACGCCATTCACTTGCAGAATGCAATCTTCTAGAGGCACATAACTCTGAAGTAATGAATTTAGGTAAATGGGTGCAGAGCCAGTGGTGGTTTTGTAGGCAAACATTAATGCCTTGAATTGAATGCGAGCAGCTACTGGTAGCCAGTGCAAATTGATAAACAGAGGTGTGACATGCGTTCTTTTCGGCTCATTAAAGATTAATCTTGCAGCGGCATTTTGGATTAATTGTAAAGGTTTGATAGAAGTGGCTGGAAGTCCTGCCGAGAGAGCATTGCAATAGTCCGGCCTGGACAGAACAAGAGCTTGAACAAGGAGTTGTGAAGCATGTTCTGAAAGAAAGGGCCTGATCTTCTTGATGTTGAATAAAGCAAATCTGCAGGACCGGGCAGTTTTAGCAATGTGGTCTGAGAAATTCAGCTTATCATCAATCACAACTCCAAGGTCTTGTGTCCCTTCAGGGAGGGAAGACGCAGATCATTGGACCAGAGGAAGAAGAGGAGGATGATGGGTATTCGATCAATGAGGTGAGAGAGTTTTCATTAAATGCCTCGCTTATCGCATTTCTCGCCGGGTATAGCAGAGTCTCCCAAAGTTGATGAAAAGCTAGTAATTAATTAAATGTGAAAATTAAAATATATAATGGATTTAAAATAGAAACATTCAAATAAAAATACAGTTTACTTGCATGTCATTTGACCCCTATCCACCATCAAAAGCATGCAAATGTGTTGTTAAATTATTAAAATATTTGTATAATATATAAATTAAATAATAAATATATATTTTAATAATTGATATATTTTAGTGTCATCCAGCTTTCTCTGAAATAAATAATTTAAATTTTTATGTTGCGTTTTTATTTCATTTTTGAGTAAAAATGTGTTAAATATCTTGGCGAGTGCAGTTGAGGGACATTTACCTGTTGAAATCGTCTCTTCATAACCAATACCCTTTAGATTTCTTGCTATTATTTTATTGGACAGAGATTTGGATATGCACAATTATGCAAAGCGTAGTCATCAGAGTTTTTAATTTCATTTTCATATGCATCTTAAATGCATGTATTAAAGTATATCTGGGCTGAATTTGGAATAGCATGCTACTGCCATATCTGCCATGTCTTTATATCACAGACACAGTCGTATGCTAGTATGCTGTTCCTAATTCAGTGTTTAAATCCATGTGTTAAAGTTGATTTGGTCGACTTTCGGGAGTGTACTAGCATATAGAGCTCAAAGCTCTTTTGGCAGATTGTCAGTGTTAAAAACATTATGGTTGATATTGCTTAGGCTTTTTTTGTTCACTGTTGTTGTTGTTAATTAAAACTAAAAATTTAAATAAAACAAATAAAATCTAAATAATAGAATTGGAAATATTGTATTTATATATTAAATATATGCATGCAATTTTTTAAAGTGAGAATGGGAAATGATGCTTTAGCAACTAGCTACATTAAAATAAGTTCAGAATTAATTAAATGAAATAAAATAAAGCTAAATAGGAATATTTAAAATTTCCTAGAACTAATAAAAATGACGACAAACAAAAATGACAAAATTACTAAAATGAAAATGAAGACATAAAAATAAAAGCTAGTCCTCAATATTGTAATAGTATAGAAATTATACTAAAATAACGCTGCTTTTCTTACACTGGACTTGTAAGTCACGTGATGTGCAGTATGTTCGTATATTGTTTAGGGATGGGCATTTTTCAAAAATATTGTATTCAAATATTTGGGCTCATAAAAAACGGATATTCGAATATTTGTTTATTTAAATAACGTTTAATGAGGAAGACGTTATTTTTTAATAATCAAGTGTTTGTCACCATTTCTGAACAAGCTTATGATTAGGCCTCATAGACAACAATGTTAACGCGCTCCACAGCGCCACCCAGTGCATTTAGTTATAACTGGCTTTTAGTTTGCGTGCTCAGGATTTTTCATGGATTCCTTGCATTTACTGGCAGCAAAGCGACACGTAGTAAAATTCAAAGTGTTTTTATTTTTCGAATGATAAGTACAGGTCGAATATTCGACTTTTTGTGCGCACTCCTAATATTATTCCACATGGAGCCAGTGACAGTGGAGTAGATGAGAGGATGTCTTGACGTCTGTAGCTCTCTCTCGCTGTTCGTGACAGATGGACGGCCCGTTTCAGGACATCGAGCTGCTGAAGAGTCGTCCGGCTCACATGACGGTCTTCATGAGATACGTGTTCAGTCAACTACTGGATCCAAACCCGCTGGTCAGCCCTGCTTTCTCATATGATATAGGGGTGGAACGGTACACATATTTTCGGTTCAGTGCGCATGTGTACCGAACAAATACAGCGTTGTTTAAACCACTGCACGAGCAGAACTTCACTGAAAACTTCCAGTTTTGTATTAAAGTAATAAGCACCAAGAAGCCGTGGTTTACAGTGAATTTATAACAGCTAAGGGGCGTTGTGAGGCACGATACGAAGCTGTTATAAATTCACTGTAAACCACGGCTTCACGGGGGTTATTGCTTTTATAAACCGGTTATTCCATAAACGTAGTACATTTTCACAAAACAAAACAGCAAATAAAGTGTAATGATATTAATAAAAACAGTATTCTTCAGCCAATCAATGTAGTTCCTCAGAAACGGTTGTGGTTGCGACAAAGTGGTTACCGAGCAACACACAGGAGTAAACAAAGGTGTATGTTTGTAGAGTAATTTACAACAGCTTCGAATGCGGCTCAACCAATCAGAATCAAGGATCCGTTTTATAAATTGTTACTTTTGATAAGAAACAAAGTCTCATCTTTCAGATAATGTCCATTTTTTTTCAGGAAATTCAAACAATAAGTGCGGTTTTGGTGCTCTTTGATGTGGCGACAGATCGAAACGCCTCAGTTCGCGATCATCCCTTCCTCTTTACTACTAGTTATAACACAAAATAAACATGAATGGACATCTCCTGCCTCCTGTAATCGCTCAGTCAGCGTTTAAACCGCGGAAAGATTCATATGCATCTCTCATGCAAACAGATGCATATGAAAAATCATCAGCAATAGACAGCATATAAATGAAAACTGGTATATGAAAATGGTATATGTCTGTGCAAGCTTTGGAGGTGTTGATGGAAGCGATTTACTGGATTTATGCTTTGATAATCGTACTGAATATTATCCAGATGTAGTTTTTGATAAAAATGTGATGTTCTCACCTCAAAATTATGCATTTTTAATGAAACCTACCTATATCCAAGTGTTGATAAAAAGAATGCTTTAAGCATATTTATAAACATATTTTTTTCAAATATTCATACAGCAAAATATACTGGAGGCCATCACATTTTTGTAAAAATCATCAAAATCGGTGGCGGTTGACTTTTTTCAAAAATGCTGGCGGGGAAAGGGTAAATATAAAAAAAGCAATTTTTTTTCCGCTACTGTACCGAACCGTGATGTCAAAACCGAGGTACCGAACCGTCATATTTGTGTACCGTTACACCCCAATATGAAATATTAAATGCCAACTCGGTGAGCATCAGTGGCTGCATGAGCACTAATGTAACTCTTGTGTCGATGCAGTTGTTTTATCTGTCTGTGGAGGCGTATCTGGGCTCGAGCCCTAAAGACGCCCGTTCGCTCGCCCCTCAGATCTGCTCGCACTTCCTGGACCACGATGCCGTGAGTGTCTGATCTACACCCACAAACCACCAGCGCTGCTTTTCTCAGCGAGCTTTCTGTGTGACTGTCCATTTGTGATTCTTTTCAGCCTGTGAAGATTAAAGTCCGGGAGGAGTTTCTGACAGACATAGGTGAGATCTCCTGAGCACGACGCCTGCTGGCAGCGTGACGGGGCTGTGGCTAACCGTGCGTGTTTGGTTTGTTCTCGTGTAGAGAGTCGTCTGCACGCGCAGGAGGACATCCGAGGGCCGCTGTCTGAGCTCCAGCAGCAGGTGCTTCCAGATATTCAAGAGCAGCTTCAAGACTACAGGTGCGCCTCCAGCTTTACTTTGATATATATACTGGAGCAGTTTTATCTAATACTGCCGCTGGAGCCCTTTCTTGTGGTTACGAAAGGTTGTGTTTTGCGCTTGATGGGATGTTTTCTGTGATGCACGGCAGGAGCAAGCAGATGATGGGTCTGGGCTCTCTGTTCGGAGAGAGCGACCTGCAGCAGTTAGACGGAGACCCGGTGAAAGAGCGGCAGGTGGTGGACAAACAGGTGCTGGCGCTCTGGGACGTCCTGTGAGTGTTCAGTTACTCTTGAACATGACTTTAACATGGCTTGAGCTCAACACTGACTCGGTTTGCTTCGCTAATGCATCAGTGCACGTGATTCTGAAGATAAAGGTTGTTGTCTTCATGATATTTCATGAAAAATCTGCTTCTGATAACTTTTCTTTTGGAGTCATCAATAATAGCATTGTAATATTTCTGTTGTGCTGTATTATTATTCTTATGAATCAGTTATTATTATTATTATTATTATATACTAATATCAATAGTACTATTACTATAGTAATACATTTATTTATTGGTTTAATTTCTATAACTTGAATAATACGTTTCATTAATACATTACTTTAATGGTATTATAATGTTTGATATTATTTTCTTTATTTTATAATTATTATTATTAAGTGATCAAATTTTATAGTACAACTATGCTATAGTAGTACAATAATAATAGTAATGGTTATTATAAAAAAAAAATATATATATATATATATTATGCATTATAGTAATGCATTTTTATTGGGCTACATTATATAACTTAATAATAAATAAATACATGTGTTACTATTGTAATGATACTGTTGTACTAAAAAATTGTATTTATTGTTATTATTATTATTAATATAATTTGCAATAAAATATTACAGTATAATAGTATTATTACAATAGTTATTGTAATATGCATATGGTTATTGGTCTATTTTTTATAATTTAATAAACATAATTATAGTTATGATTATTTCATAGTACAGAAGTACAATAGTAATACAGTTGTTTATTGTTTTAATTTTTATCATTTAAAAACTTCACTACTACGGTTACTTTCATATACTAATATTAATTGTATTATTATTGTTTAATAATTTTGAATGGGTTTCATAAAAACAATTGTGTGACTGTGGCCTGAGACAACTGAAGCAGAAAGATTTTGTTAAAAGAAAATGCAAATAAAACACAACTCTATAAACTTTCCCCCTTGATCCTCGTGCTAAAATTAGCTCATTTTAAATAATATTTTAAATATTTCAAATGATATATTAAAACATTTCGTGCCAGGGAAAGAAAAGAGCACAGGGACACATTTTTAACCCCTGATGAGTTTGTGTCTCTGGTTAATATGCTCTAAAATCAATGGGAGAGATGTGCTATAAAACCAGCAGCACAGATTATAAAGCGTTTCCACGGCGACCGGTCAGATGACACGGGAATAAACCCGCGAGCTTGTGTGAGTTACAAAGGTCCCGCGTCTGTGACACGCCTCGACACAGAGCTGCTCACATGACCCGCAGACCGGTCACATGACCGCTGTACACACAGGACCCTGTGAGCTCAAAACCCGAGGTGTGTGTCTCTCTTCAGGTGCGTGTTTGTGTAAATACAGTCAAGCTAACACCAGCTTTCTTTCCTTACAGCTCAAAACACGAGGAGGACAGAAGGTATGAGCTTCAATCCTGTGGCTAGCAGTGGTTAGCATGTGCTAAGATGCATGAAATCAGTTTATTAAATGACAATATTGACCGTTGTTGTGCTGTCAGTTCTCCGCTAGCGTCTGCGGTTCATCTGTATCTCAGACACTCGGGCATTAAACTCAGAGACTCCAAAGTGTTTCCCGGCTTGATGTCCGAGAAGGAAAAGTGGCTTCCGTTCTTTCCTAAAGCTAAAAAGGTAAATGTATGATGTAATGTACTGAAAGATGTACTGTATTTACACTAGCTCTGGTTCTTACTGGATCCTCATAATGCGCTTCAAATGTTCATACGCAGCTGAGCAGCGCCAGACGAGAGAAGGACGGAGACGACAAGAAACGAAATCCCATCCTGAAGTACATCGGAAAACCCAGAAGCACGTCCCAGTCCAGTAAACACACACACTCTCTCTCTGTCTCACACACACACTCGCACACACTCTCACACACACACACTCTCTCT